TCCCTGGGGAACAACTTCCGACTATTCAGACTTCTACAGTAGAGCGTTGAGGGCTTAGGGTGTATGGCTGAGGCTCTAAAGTTTAGGTCAGTGTGAATGTTCCGGGCACATGGGCTACATGTGTGCGGGCTTATTTTCTTCACAACTAGCAACCCTTCATACTACTTTGTTTCTACTCGGTTCGCTGAGCTGTCGTTTGAACTTGGGCCTTTCCTAGTCCTGTGTGGAAATATTTTGAGGGAGTCTGAACTCCTTTCAGCATCAACGAGCCTGTTTGGCTCAGCCCCGGGGGTTTAGAAAGCCCTGAACAGGGCTCCAAAAAAGCACATAAGCAAAACGTAGGATAGGGATATCCCATATAACCCCCCTTTATCAGGTAGGGATATCCCCATAAGATGCTTATGCTTATGTGCTTTTTGGGTCCCTGATAGAAAGCCCTGAACAGTGTGTGCTCGGAGCGGACGAAGCTGTACAAAGTGCCGCCCCGAGTCTTTGAGAAGAGCCAAAAATGCAGGCAGACCTGAGATTCACAGCTTGCGGGGCTCCTGGGCGCATACATACGCTCATACAGAGGTACATACATACATACATACATACATACATACATACATACATACATACATACATATATATATATATATATATATATATATATATATATATATATATATATATATATATATATATATATATATATACATGCACATACATATGTGCATATATGTACATGTATGTATGTATAATAGATACATATATATATATATATATATATATACACATGTAATTATGTATATGTACATATATACATATATACACTGATAGGCAGATAGATGGATAGATAGATGGATAGATAGGTAATTACATGTGTTTGTGCAGTAGTCTCAAGACTACTTCTGAGTTTAGCGGTGCAGGCCTCTCTGGAGGTCCTCGGTGTTATACAGCTACATTCCATGGCTCGGATAACAAAAGCGATAAGTTTCAACCGTTACAGAACCCAGGAACAAGTTTTACGGTTTGGTCGTTACATATTATGCATCATACACCAGATGTGTTGTACCGTATATACATCTTGTACATGATACACTCAGCAATGCTCCCATCTTCACCGGCCCCACTGCATTCGGAGGCAAGCCACCTTAAACCCTAAACCGAAAATCCGAAACCCTAAACCCTAAACCGTAAATGCTAAACCCTAAATCCTAAACCCTAAACCCTAAATCCTAAACACGAAACCTCAGCCGCCAATCCCAAGGGGTACAGTGTAGAAATCTGAGTAAGAAGCCCATTTTGGAACCTGATTTCAGGGTTTGGGGCCCTTTAACTTGGGGTTGTGTTTGGGATTAGTGTAGGGGCAGTGTTGGAACCTGAATAAGAAGCCTTGGGTCTTTTTTAGGCTTCTTCATATGAACCCTTCCTTTTCTGTGGTTGTAGGGCCGGTATGACTATGTCTAGTAGTAGTACTAGACTATTACTATGACGATGACTACTACATGCTATACTGTTATGCGGTTACTCACAACTACTATGACTGCGTTATTGATCACACCTTTTTGCTGCAGGCGAAGCGAGATATGCGACGAAAGCCGATAGAAGACCGACTCGCGTCAATCCCTGTCAGACGGTGTTCCCGAGGGTTGCGGAGTTTTGTGCTTTGAGGTGTACGGCTCCACCCTGTGTGATTTTTCGAGGCGTTACAGACGGGCTTCAGAATAAAGCCCCATAATTACATGAAGGGCTGTCTTGGGTGACAGGTAATTAGCGTTTAGGGTCTGGCGTAAGGTCCAGGGTCTAGAGCTAGCTAGGGTTTAAGAACCAACCGGGCTTGTGATGGTAGTGAATCCAGAGTTGTCTTTGGGGCATTTATGACTACGGAACTTGGGGGAATAGGCTCTTGTCGACTCATCTGAGGAAGTGCACCGGATGACTTGGCCGGCTCTTTGTCCGACCTCTTGGTACTTTGAGACTTCAGGCCTAGCAGGCAGTGTGTTGCAATCCGAGGGATTGAAGCCAATGTATGCTTAAACAGGAAGTGACCCTTGCAAATGGGTATATTTTCCTTTTTTAAGAACCTCTATATAGGTCGACCCAAAGTCTCGACCCAAAACCCTATAAACCTGTTCCCCAAACCCAATACCTAAATCCCAAACCTAAACCCGAAAGTCCTAAACCCCTAAAACCCCTAAACCCCTAAAGCTTAAACCCTGAACCCTAAACCCCGAATGCTGGAGGCCCGAAAGCCGTCGAGGCCGACCACCCTAGAGACGGAAAGCGTAGGGTTTAGGGTTTAGGGTCTGGATCATAACCCCCCACAACCTAGGCTTCTTTAGGGCTTCGGGCAGAACCCTTGCAACTCCTTCTTCCGAATCCCGCCCCCCCCCCCCCCATTATGCCTTTCTAGAATCCCTTACTAAAGCCGTTGGTGGAGGCCTTTCTGTTATTTTGCATCCCCCAGGCGGGGAGGTTCGCAAGGCTACAACAGCACTATTCTAGATGGGTAGTCCCTTTTTGAGTACCCTAAATAATAGGTGCCGTATTATATTAAGGGCCCAAAAAGGGACCCTAATTTTGACAATTACCCATATAATAATTTAGAATCCCTATACCGCCTATAGATTTCAAGCCCCAAACCCAGCTCAGGAGCTGCTACCTGCTTTCCCCAAAGGGCCCTAAGTACCCATGTGGGTTTAGGGTTTAGGGTTGTAGGGTTTCCATAATAGGAACTACGACCATGAGCGGTGCAAGTATGCCCCATAGAGGGACCCCATTATGGAACCCTGTAGCCCCCTTTCAAGGGGACCAAATTGCTATGGAACCCTAAACCCCTAAACCCCTAAACCCTAAACCCCTAAACCCTAAGCCCTAAAAAGTAAATACTAAACCCTAAACCCCTAAACCCTAAATACCCTACACTCCACAAGACCATTTTTGAATCTTTAGGTACCTAGGGCCCTGTGAGGTCGCATCTCACGTGTCATCCGGGGCTCGGCTCGCGGGGCTTTCAGAGGCCTGAGCATCTGGCCAGAGACAGCCGCAAAGAGTGCTAGGCTTTAGGGTGTAAGGTTTAGGCTTTAGGGTTTAAAGGTTTAGGCTCTTGGGTTTAAGGTTTAGGCTTTAGGGTTTAAGATTTAGGGTTCAAGATTTAGGGAAAAAGATGTAGGGTTTAGTGTATCTGGCGCTCCAAACAGCCCAAAGCAGGTACTATTTATAGACCTTAGACTCCAAAGTAGGTGCTGTTTGTACACATGGAATCCTAGGGGTAGGGTCCGGGTTTATGGGTGATGGGTCTACAGTAGGATTTAGGGTTACGGGTTTAGGGTATAGAGTCAAAGGGTATCGGGCTTTTATGTAGGAGTAGCCATCTGGAGAACAGCGGGTAACTAGCAAACCAAGCCATAGACGTACAACACAAAAGGGATCGTGCGTAGTCATCATAGTCTCAACTTAAGTTTGAAAACCGATTGGAAAGCAAAGCCCAGTGCGTGGAAGACTCAAGAACGCTTCGAAACTCCAATGTCTGCAGGACAATGACGATTGGCGTGTTCACATTGTTGACAATGCATAAAGAAGGTCGCGAACATGACGGCATTGATGACTAGATGTTCTTTTCGACGCACCTAAGATGGTGAAGTCCACAGACTAGACTAGTAAAGGAGCCTTCACACTTGGAACAGCTATGAGCAGGGTATTGGGGTATATTCCGGCAACACTAAACCCCACATTACTCCGGCCCATTAGATACTTTGCCATACTCTTCTCAGCATCCTTCTTGAGCACCTTCATGAAGTCATTAAGGAGTGTCGCGTCGCTCTGAACCGTGGTGAAGGTGTCCATAAAGTCCTTTAGGGCACGATGGTCTCAACCGGAAGAACCGAAGTTTGGGAAGAGGAAGCTGGCGTCTTCACCAAGTCCTTGAGGGCCTGCTTTCCCGAGGCGGGCTGGAAGTCCCACAAATCATTCAGCGCCAACGCCACATAGTTATCGGAGCGTGCCGGTCGCCTTTTCTTTGGCGAGGGAGTGAGGTCAATCAGTTTGGGCCGCGAGCTGGTCGTTGCAGCTGCCGTTGGCGCCGCCATTTTGGACTCTCTCCAAACCCGCCGCTGTAAAGAAGTTGGCAATGCTCCGCCCACTGACCGTCTCCTCCAGCAAGGCTTTGTGCGCGGCCTTGCCGTGCTCGGTCTGCAGAAGCACCTCCTGGACGGCTTTGGACAGGAACCCCTCTTGGAGACTGGCCGCAAGTGTCAGGCCCCAATGGGACCCTACGTAAACACCGGCGCACCGGGCCAAGACGTCCGCATGCCGTCGCCAATTTTTGTGGACATTGGCCGAAGCGAAGAATGTGGTGCACGGCTTCGGCGATAGCGTCTGGGGATCTCTCAACGTCTGGGTGGTCCTGCGCAGTGGAGCACCGTAGGGAAGCCCGAACCGAAGCAGCAAACGCCTGCAGCTGTCCTGGATGTTGAGAATCTTATTCGCGTCTTCGATTTTGTGCTTCACGCAGAGGTCTGTGTACTCTTTGGTGAAGGTCTTGCTGAATATCCCAGCTTCAGCGCCTTCCTGGAGGTTCGTCATGGTGGCGTGGAGAGAGCCCACGAGCATACTCTATCCAATCGCCGGGCGGTTGAAGAGTTCATGTCGGTCGCCACGCACAGCCTCGGTCGCGAACAGCTTGGCGTCGAAAGCTTGCTCGGGTTTAAGCAAGCCGAGGATGCCGGCGTTGCTGGTGCCTTCCTCGTTGTATACCACAGCGCCAAAATTTTTCGCCAGCATTTTCGGCGGCAGGAGGGGACATGTTGCAGATTGGGGAAGCAAAGGCGCGGGATGGGCAGTAGAAGACTATAGCTTGAAAGCAGGCTGCAACGAAAAGCAAGCGTCTCCAGCAGGATCTCACGCTGCAGACAAAATGCGCGCTCTCTACCGGCGGTTTGAGGGGGGGACCCCCCTATAGAGGACAGGCAGCAGGTGCAACGCTCCACACTTGGCATCGCAGCCTCTATTCTTTTTTACGTTCGCGGCCGAAAGAGCTGCGCTGACGGCCGGCCGAGAGCTCGCAGATCGTTTAAAGTCACGGCGCGAGTAACGGCAGTGTAAGCCCAACCGGGAGGTGCAAAGGCTTCATCGAAGCAAATGCAGAGCTCCGGGGCGCTTTGGCCCTGCACTTGGTGCACGGTGGATGCGTAGCCGTAGCTCACGGCGTACGCGTTGCGGACCACACTTCCGGAGGCCACCTGCGGGGCCAGGCGGCGTGGACAGGTTCGCAGGACCGAATAAAGTCCTTGTCGTCTTCAACCTTGTAGGGGACGATGGTCTCAACCGGAAGAACCGAAGTTTGGGAAGAGGAAGCTGGCGCTGGCGGTGGTGGGGTAGGACCACCTTTGCCATCACCGTCACCATCCCTGCTTTTCTTCTCTTCCTCGTCGTTCTCAACGGGCCAAAGATGTCTGGGGACAGTTCCTATACCACTCCGCTTCCAGCCGTTCTAGGGTCCATGTACCCAAATAGGGATCCTTTAAGGGTCAAAGGGTTACTGTAAGGGTTCTAGAAGGGCTTTAGGGTTTGTGGGTGAAGATTTAAGGGTCCATATACCCAGATTGTATATACTTTGGTGTTAAAGTAGTCCCTACTGTCGCTGGACAAAATCCTGCATTACCCATTATAAGGAATATACCATAGTTCCCACAGTTTAGAGTCCTGAGGGTCATGCAGGAGATTGGCCATCAACAGTATCACTACTTGGGGACATGGCCCTTAGGGGAAGCCTCCACAAGAGCACACGCAAACACACATCGTAAACATTGCAGACCAAGACGACGACATGTTGATGCTACAGCTACTGTACTGAAACGGCCAATCACACAAAACAGCAGCTACCAACGTGATGTACTGAATGGCCTCACACGAACTCTTACCCGAAGCAAGCTAAACAACAAGGAAGGAGCCTATCATAAAGCCCACCTCTTGTGGTCCTTCCCGTGCTAAACGCTAGGCTAAACCCTTTATAAAGACACCCATAGATCCGGTCCCCTCAAGAGAGATCTGCACCCCTACTAGGGGAATGTGGCCTCTGCAACTTCCTCAGCTTCCTCATCTGGGCTATCAACCTGCCCGTCGACTTAATAGGCATATACCGTCCACTTAACCCTGACACCCTAAAGCCTTGTTTGGCCGGTGAACTCAAGGGATGTGAGTGCCCGGTAGAAAGCAAGCTCAAGATTGCCAAAGGATGCAGGGTCGGACACGAGTCGTGACACGAGGACTCTCGCAGCTACGAAGATTGAAAACCTGCCTGGAGGTTGGATTCGTCTTTGCTTCTACGGGTGCAGAGGGGGACTTTCGATCGCAGACTCCCCGCCCACAGTGGGCGTGCACTTAGAACTACAAACTCCGACCTCACTGAAAAAGTGAAGTCTATTCGGGGTTTAGGCTTCTGGCTCCTTCTTCCTTCGTACTGCAGGACCCCAAACTTAAACCTACAACTAGGCCAAGAGAAGGTGCTAAGAAACCAAACAACTGCATGCTCAGGTGTGCGCTGCACTTCAGAAATGCAAACTCACCTGAATCTGAACTCTGAACACGACCTGCACACCCAAACATGTGCCACGGTTATGAGGTCGTAGGGAAACTTAAGCGGTTCCTTGAGAAGTCTGTTGCAGACTTGGTTCACCTTTCGGCGTCCCATCATGTTTGAAAGCCACATAATCTAAACCAACCCGCATGCCACCCTAACTCCCAAAACCACTTCATTCTAAACTCTATAACCCTAAACCCTAAACTCCAAACCCTACCCTAAACTCTGAACCCTACCTAAACTTACAGAAGATCAGAAGATCAGATCCCTCAAGCTGTAAGACCCCTGCAGCGCCCTCGCGCCTCAGCAGCTTCTGCCGGACTGGCCTTCTACACACAGGTGCGGTCTTCGGGGGTACTCTAGGGTTCTGCCTTTAGGGTTCAGGGAAGTTTGGCGCCTCTGGGAGCAACAAAGGTTTAGGGCTATGGCTTCGTCTGGGGCTTTAGGGCTTAGGGTCTCGGGTCTATAGCAACTTACGGTTCTGAGCTTATCGTTGTCCGGGTTTAAGAGTTTGCGAAGGTTCCCTAAGTAATAGAGCCTGCCAAACTGCATGAAATCGTGGTCGGAGTTCGAAATAGTGAACCTTCATGATAATTACTATCTCCCTGTAGTCCCTGTGCTGTCACACTATTACATACCGCACCCCCAAACCTAACTCCAATTATCATTCAGGTTCCGAAATTGCACCCAAGACCCCGTACTTTGCGTCAGAACACAAAGCCGCAAACTGCAAACATTCCCTAAGGGATCCATGTACCCAAATTGTAAATACTCCCCGAAGTACCCCGACTCTGCGCTCCCCAAAAGGCAAGAGGCTTCAGGTTGAGGGTTTAGGGTTTAGGGTTAGGCGACAAAAGACAGTGTAAGCACTATAGCAGCTTAGCCTGCAAGCCTCACAGCAACATATAATCAGAACAGGGTTCTGGGGGTATACATAGGCATGCTACAGGATACTTCCATCAAGGAATTCTACGGAACAGTGTTTGTGAGTCTTCATGCCCCTATGATAAGGCGGTTCGAGACAGCAGTACAATGGCTCTGCAGCAAAGTTCGTGCTACAACTCAGCTTATACTATACATACGGCAGAAGCCATACTGACTAATTTAACGATGAATTATCGGGTAACCCAGCAACCCTCCAACCTCCAACCGCCCTCAGCCCTGTACCCAAAACCCCTAAACCGATCGTTAACCTGAAGGCCTCAGTACGAACCCCCAAAACCACAAAACCCTAAATCCGCGTGGCTCTTCACCAGAAACCCGTGAACCTAAAGCCACCGGAATTCCAAACGACGGTTGGCCTCTGCGTCTTTGGCAGAGGGGCTGGCAGAAAGCTCCTTTTGGCATGTCGAGGCTCCGGGAAATCGAAAGGGTGTACAGGGTGTGCGTCACCGGTAAACGGGTGTATAGGCCCTACCTGTATCTCCAAACCCTAACAAAAAAGTAGGTTATAACCCCTTATAGGGTATAGAACCCCTAAGACGGTAGGTTTTCGGATCCCAACACTACCTATAGTCTCCATTGTAGTTCCTTTTTTTGGATAGCCAGTTTTATGGTTGGGGACCCATAAAAGAGATTTTGGTTAACCCAAAAAAGGAACTACAATGGAGACTATAGGTAGGATCTCTGTGTTGGATCCTCCGGCTTTCCGAAGCTTTTCTCCTGTCCTGAGGAAGCCCTGAACCTTCAAGCCCAAGTGGCCTTAAACCCTAAGCCCTAAAACCCTAAACCCTAAAGCCTAAACCCTAAACCACGGGAAAAAAAGCTGCATCCTCATAGGCTTTCGTGGGAATCTCGATGCCGTCGCCCTGGCGAGGAAACGGCTGACGGCTTGCGGGAGATCTCTGGAACCTGATTAACGAACACATCCACAGAAGTAAGAGGCTCGCAAAACCTAACCCCTAGACGGTTTAGAGTTTAGGCTTTAGGGTTTAGGGCCCTATACGCATGAACAGCCCTGCTAAGATGCAGGGTTCTTCTTTAGCAGCCTCCGACGCCGACCTGTGGCTTCAGGCATGTTCAGTGGTTGAGGCTTTTACGGTTTAGGGTTCAGGGTTCAGGGTTCAGGGTTTAGGGTTTAGGGTTTACTACATGAGGATCAGCTGTGCTCGGAGGCAGCTACATCAGAATGGCCCCAAAGTAGTTCAACAGAACCTAGGTACAGGGATCTTTTGTTACAGACGTCATGAGTTTGGGGTAGTTGGCTGAGGGTCGAGAACGTCCAGAAGTCCACTAAGGATCGTAGTGCAGTCTAGAGATGTCTGAGCTGACCAACATCACGGCCAGGGCCGTTAGCAGCCCGAAATACTAATAGCAAAGATGTTCAGTCCTGCTCCTGGTCCTTCACCCACTGGCCCTTTGCAAGTGTAGGGTGGCAGTTAGGACCTGTAGCAAGGTCGAAGATAGCTCCCTGAACCTCAATGAATCCTCAAGCCGACTGTGGCGTTGCAATTCTTCCGCTGCCGAGAATCCCAAAGTATATCGCTGGCCTCCGTCGGCATCTCCACCTGAAGGGTTGCGCCAAGCGCCTGCGGGCATACATTGGTAATGGACGTGTAGCTCATATCTGCTGAGGCTTCGTTATGAGCTGTTGGAGCTTTAAACGAGGCGGCGACATGAAGAATGAGCGCGCAGACTTGAAATTTATTATCCATGGACTTCGGGCTTTGAAAACGATGTAGGATCTACATGGCACTGATCCTTGGCGAGTCGGACGAAAGTTTTGAGTTCTTCGGTACTACAGGTTCATTGAAGCGCCTCAGCACGTAGCACTACTACTAATACTTATTGAGCTTCGTCCATATTACTATCTCACTGCAGAGCTACCACTGCTTGAGATTTCTGCTTTAGCTGGGAGCGTCTGAGCAGCTAAACCCTTAACCCCTCAACCCAAAGCCATGATGCCTAAACCCTCAAAGCCCTACACACTTGCAACCAAAACGCACCAGCTCAGAATCCATCTTCCTGCGCTTTCTAAACTGCTGGAGGCTAGACATGCACTGCGGAAGACTAGTATCAGATGCTCGATAGTATCCCCAATCGTTTAGGCTAGGGTGTACCCCCCCCCCCCCGCACATAGGTGCTTCCGAGGCCAAAGCAGACACAATCTAGCTACATGTACCCTGGGGGTATGTAAAACCACCGCAAAGTTTCAACTCGAATGCTGCAATATCAACTTGTGCGAAGACGACCCGAACCAATGTAGGGGAATTAAGAGAATGAACAGAGGTTCCGGGATACCTTATAGTGTAAGAAGCAAAAGACAAAAGTGGGATCGTCTTGATGGCTATTCCGGCCCGCCATATATTACGCATGCCAGCGAACTAGCTGCATTCATCCCTCGAAGATGTCATCTTGGAGCGGACCTCTGCCAGAAAATCCCGTCCTTGCTTGTCTTCTAAAGTTTCACGCGCGCGGAACAAGGCAAGGGTTTATCATAAGAGTGTATAACATGAAAGGCTAAAAATTCCAAAGTAGGTGGTAAATGAAAATGACATCGAAAAGAGCGTGGCACCTCTACCCCCTTTCGGCCCCTAAAAGCTGACTAAAACTTAACTTGGGCCCTTTGGCTTTTGAGCTGCCAAGAGCTCGTGAAGAACCCCCAAACCATGGCAGGCCCCTGCTTTTTTGGTGAGAAATCGCGAGATGTCGAGGCTCTGACGGTCTTACTGACATCTTCGCCGATGCGAAAGCTGCTTTTGCAGCATCGTTGCAACCATCTCACGGCACTAGGAGAAGCACCGGACTTGACCACAATAAGTGTGGGTCGGTTCCGGGACGGCTTAGACCTGGCACGGCATTTAGCAAGCGTGCTGCTTCTGCGTGTATGGCAGGAGCGTGCAGCGATCACGAGCCGTGCCAAACTTGCTCCACGTGCTATGACCGAAGGCCAAGCAAGCGGAGAGCATGGCGATCAGCAGGACGCAGCTCTGCAGGACGGACCTGCGAAGCCACATGTTGAAAGCAAAAACAAGTTCAATTCATTGTTGCTTCTGGTGTTGTCATACTCTTACTGTGGGATTACTGTGGCGGTCGGTTTAGTACTAGGGTACCCCCACCCCCCCCCCCCGACCAAAAAGTTGCGGTCGGTTTAGTGCGGAACCGGTAGCCCCGGACAGGGGTCAGGGGTCTGAGTGGCAGGGAATTGGGAGGTGCCGGGGTTTGGGGGCTGGCTTGGGTGCAGGGTCTGCGGTTCTGCGCGACTGCGCCGTCGGGGGTCGGGGGGGTCTGGGCCAGCGCCTGAAACCCTAAACCCTGGACCCCAAACCCTAACGAATCCTAAACTCCTAAACCCTATAACAAACCCTAAACCCTAAGCCCTAAACCCTTCCAAAGGGGGGTCGGTCCAGATTCGACCCAAAACTTAATTTTTTATGCAAACTTTAGTACTGGAGAGGCCTCTTTTGAGCTAGGGTCCAATCCCCCCCCCAATAATCAAGGTATACTAGAATAGTACAGTAGTAGTACAGTAGTAGTGTAATAATAGTGCAGTAGTACAATAGTAATACAACAGTAGTACAGTGGTAGTACAATAGTAGTACAGTAGTAGTACAATAATAGTACAGTAGTACAATAGTAGCACAATAGTAGTACAGTAGTAGTACAGTAGTAGTACGATTATAGTACCGTAGTACAATAATAGTACAGTAGTAGTACAGTAGTAGTACAATAATAGTGCAGTAGTACAATAGTAATACAACAGTAGTACAGTGGTAATACAATAGTAGTACAGTAGTAGTACGATAATAGTACAGTAGTAAGTAGTACAATAGTAGTACAATAGTAGTACAGTAGTAGTACAATAGTAGTACAGTAGTACACTAGTAGTACAGTAGTAGTACCACAGTAGTACAGTAGTACAGTAGTAATACAGTAATAGTACAGAAATAGTACCAATAAGCAAAGCATAAAGCCAGTGAGCACATTCCCCCAATAAGCAAAGCATAAAGCCAGCGCCTGAAACCCTAAACCCTGAACCCTAAACCTTAACAAACCCTAAACCCTAACGAATCCTAAACTCCTAAACCCTATAACAAACCCTAAACCCTAAGCCCTAAACCCTTCCAAAGGGGGGTCGGTCCAGATTGGACCCAAAACTGAATTTTTTATACAAACTTTAGTACTGGAGAGGCCTCTTTTGAGCTAGGGTCCAATCCCCGATTCGGCGGTTCACCCTAGCAGCCCCCCCCAATAAGCAAGGCATACAGTAGCAGTACAATAGTACAATAGTAGTACAGTAGTAGTACAGACTCCCATTCCTGACGCCCCAATAAGCGAAACAATTCTGCAAGAGTTTTTGGGGCTTCAGGGCCAGGGTTTTAGGGTTGGGTGGGGGTTTGGGTGGGGGCTTCAGGTCGTGGCTGCCTTAAGATTGACCATCAGCAAACAGCACAGCCCCGCCACCAAAAAATCCCCCCAGCCAAAAACAAACGCATTAATTAGACCACCCCCAATTTGGGGCGACCGGTCGGAATTAGCCCCGGAAAAAACGCATTAAAAGAGCCCATATTCCTAAACCGACCGGCACATTAATCATGATTAGAAAAGGGGCTTGACACACATTATACTATGACTTTTTTAGAAGCCCTAACGTTTTTTTTGCTATTACTCTCTCATCTGCCCCCCCCACTCCCTCCATTTGCACCCATATTGCACATGTGTTAATTGGGGCGTCACATCGTCGTCTTTGCGTTCTAGGGCGAAGCTGAACCCGAATAACCCACAGCTCGCGAACCACGCGGCTTGGTTCACACAGAAAACGTATACAAAAATCGTCATGACAGGCGACCCTAAGGGTCCATGTACCCAAATAGTATATACTTTGGCCCCAATGTACCTATATAGGGACTACTTTAAGGCCAATGTATATACTATATGAGTACATGGACCCTTTGGGCGAAAGCAGGAACCCAGAACTCCAAAGCTGCAGCACCTTGACTTTCCGACACGGGGTCGAATTCCCGCCAAGAGCTCCTCCTCTGCCGTCCAAGGAAGCTCTTGGGCGGGCTGGGACGTCTGCGCCTAAGACTGGTCGATTTTCGCTTGCAGGGGTTCTAAAGTCTAAACGCTGATCAGGGGAACTATGTGATTTTTTGCTAGACGGTTCTGTATTTGGGTGTCTATATTTATTGGTTCACCGTCAAAGAGTCACAGGAGCTTCAGTAGGGGGCCCTAGCTCAGGATTTAGGCTTTGGCATCGTATTCTGGGATCATTGCTCTAGTGTGCTTGTTCATCTACTTACCCTAAGGCTCCATGTACCCATATAGTAGATACTTAGGCCTGAAAGGGGTCCCTATATAGGTACTTTAAGGCCTATGTATATACTATATGGGTACATGGAGCCTTAGGGTTAACTAAATAAGTTGGTGTTGGGGTTGAGGCAGGCTCTAAACCCTAGACTTTTGAATGCCTACTGTAGAAGCCTTATCAATTAGAAGTCGTGTCCCTATGTCATTTTAGTCTCTGTGAAATTACACTGTAGTTTAGGGGTGAACTTGTCAAGATAACCGATGTCTAATCCATCTTCGCTGGAGCTTTTCAACATTGCCACATCTGCGGAAACCGTATCCATATTCAATACCCGGAGTGATAGTGTACTAGTACTATTGGTTAAAGATATATCTGTACACACACATGAATATATGCATGTGTAAACATACATATACATATATGTATATATGTATGTGTATGTATGTATGCATGTATGTATACGTGCTTGGTTAAGTTTAGTCGTATGTATTCATTGGGGATAGATGCAATTTAGAACAGATTCAATCACACACGCACCCACACGACGAGTCTACACTTGCATCCGTTCGTGTCGCTCCTCTCTTCCATTGAAACGGTTGAACTCAACTACCACTCGTTCTGCGGCCGATGGCATCGAGAAACAAAGTGCCACGATGCTGAGAAGGACACAAGTAACGCTAATAACACAAGGACCACGGGTGCACATCAATGATTCCAAGGGTAAAAGGAGGGACCCTTAATAAGGACCCCTAGGTATATACCCTTAATATAGCTGTTATATACCCACTATATAGCCCATTATAGGGTAGGGGTCCCCATTAAGGGCCCCTCCTTTTCCCCATTGAATGATAGGAGGCAGCAGCTCCCTGAGCGATCAAAAAATGAAACACTACCCCATGAACTTTTCAGTATGCAGCACGGACGAAACCAGTAGAGCTCAATAGTTTTTCACGAGTGTTAAACACTTAGCATCGTATCATCTCATGCTGAATATGAGAACGCAAGCACACTCTGGAGCAGCAAGCTTTTAGCGACCAGGGGCCCTGAACTGTTGGAGCAGGTGCTCGGGAGATAGTTACTGAAATACTGGGGTTCCTGCAGAGATAGTAGTACAGTCTATGAACACATCACCACACCCCTAAACCCCAAACCTAAGTCCCGTGATTTTAGGGTTAATAAGGTTCAGGGTTTAGGGCTTATAGGGTTTAGAGTTTAGGAGTTTATAGGGTTTAGGGCCATTTTGCGTTTAGGAGTTTAGGGTTCCAAGGCCCGAAAACC